CGAAAGGTGTTGAACCCCCAAAAAAATCCCTCAAAAATTTGATAAAAGTTGCCAAACTGGTGGGAAAGTGCCTTTTTCTTCAATTTCACTATTTTGACGAGCGCATGATTTCACCAAGATGTCTCACATATGGTTGTATTTCTAAAAAGTTTCTGCCATTTCAGTAATCCTAAATTAGAGAATCGCATCGCATACCCTAAACTTTAGCATTGTGGTTTTAAAAATACCATCACAGGACACACTGGAATGAAGATTTGCCGTAATTTCACAACAATAAATAAAACTTTATGTGTGCCTGGAGACCAAAGGTTATACATTTTAATAACGTTGAAAAATTATAATTAATTTTTTAAAAACAAATCAAAAGTCACATTATAATCTTTACAAGATCAATTTTATTTCCAACAAATAGAGTGGTTTAGTTAGCATATTTCATGATAACATGCCTAATAAAGTTTCATAATGTTCTGTCATGTGTACAGAGGCGTACCTCGGCCGACGTGGACTTTTTCCGGGGCTGGGTGGACTACAAGAACGGTTTCGGAGACCTGTCTGGAAACTTCTGGTTTGGGCTGGAGAAAATCCACCAGCTGACAAAAAAGGTAATTTCCTTCCGAACATAATAATTATTTTCATTATCAATCTAATCTTATGTGACAGAACTGAGCGCCGCTGCTGTTGTCCATGCTGATGTTCTTGTCGCTGCAGACATGGCTGCTCGTTGTATTAGTTCCGTTTATTATCCTCAATATGAGTGTCACTCTTTTTATTGAAAGGTAGTAGTCGCAGCATACGTCCACCCACATGACTCTGTTATATCGGAGATAGACGTAAAATCGGAGACTCTTTACCTTGATACCTTACCATAATAATATTTGGAAGTTTCATTAATCCACCCTTGTAAGCAAAGTTGATCTAGTGGTGGTACGTATTGTGCGGACAAAAATTCGTGGCGCAACTTATCCCTTTAACGGTTGAATCAATGCCAACCATGCTTTGCACAGCTGTTTCAGTTTTCCTCTTGTTCTCATCATCAGGAGAGGTACGAGCTGCGGGTTGACTTTACGTACAAGGGGACAAACTACTACGCCATTTACAAAAACTTTTTGTTACTTGGAGAATCCGAGAATTACAAAATTAAGATCTCCGGATATTCAGGTAATGCAGGTGACCAAATGATTTATGATAATGGCCAGGCATTCACAACAAAGGACCGTGACAACGATCCAAACAATTCTGGCAACTGTGCTAGGATACGTCATGGAGCTTGGTGGTACAAACAGTGTGGGCACGTGAACTTCAACGGGGCGTGGGCCACAGAGAAGTGGGCCAAGGGCGTGTGTTGGTACAGAGTAACAGGGTGGGGCAGCTCTGCCACCTTCAGTGAAATGAAAATACGACCACTTGCAAAGTGACAACTTTATGACAGCAAATATTCGGTTTTTTGATTATTTACGAAGTTTGTGTGTTCATGTTTAATTTTGTTTGAAGGAAAGAAGAAAAAGGGACAATCCATTTTCAAAATGACAGCTCTATGACAGAACATACTCGGTGTTCTGATTATGTACGAAGCTTCTGTGTCCATATATTATTTTGTTTGAAAGAAAGAGGGAAAAGGATAATAATACTAAACATAAATCCACACTGTATACGTATTCTTCTCACTTCCCACAGTCTGATCCCCATGCGCTTTACATATTTTCTTAAAACAGAAAAATCTGGTTTTTGCGTAGTCACGCTTGTACACACACCATGGTACACTTATGATGTTACAGATATGTATAACATGTACATGCCTCCATGAACGCACAAACTCACACACAGACACACACACACACACACACACACACACACACACACACACACACACACACACACACTCACACACTCACACACACATAATATTACGTACACGCTCTCAAACATACACATACCTCAACACATGCATGCACCCATCAATACGTAGTACACATACACAAACACACATGTGCATGCGTGTGCGAGCACACACAGACACACACACATACGCTAATGTATTACCGTATAACTCTTATCTTTTTCTTTCCCTGTCTCTGTCTTTGTCTCTCCCTCTCTCTCTCTCTCTCTCTCTCTCTCTCTCTCTCTCTCTCTCTCTCTCTCTCTCTCTCTCTCTCTCTCTCTCTCTCACACACACACACACACACACACACACACACAGACCACACACACACACACACACACACACACACACACACACACACAAACACACACACACGTACACACACATACACACACACAGACACACACATAGATCTACTGCAACACTGGTGGTTCAGTTTGTGGAGAATGAACTTAGCCGACAATATATACATTATTGTCTACTTCAACACTGTTAGCTCGGTGTGTGGAAGTGGAACTCAGTCGGCAATGTAAAGATAATAACTGTCTTTAGATATCAATATTATTCTAGATCTACTTGTTCTTTACAAAAATGTACCTTAACTCTCTTTTTGTTGTATCA